TTCCTTTCCCTCTCCTGCAAGGCAAATATTTTGATCACTCGTCAGATAGAGAAACAAGCCAGAGGACTGCAGTGATACAGCCAGTAGCTGGTGACGTCACGATTCAACCCCAGCTCTGTGTCTCTCTGCACAGTTAGGGGACCACACTGCCAGGCTGCTACGCTGGGACTTGCCTCTGTCCTTTCCCACTTGGCTAAATACAGCTGTTCTATGGGGAGCCTGGGAGAGCTAACAAGACGGCCAGGTGATAAGACGTCTCCAGAAGACAGGAGGCGACTGCGGGGCTCCAGGGAACAGGACACAGAGGAGCCTATCGGCCGCACGTTTCTTGTGAGATGGCCTGGGAAATGGCGCTTGATCTATTCACAGACACAAAGCAGTGAGGCCCAACCTCAGCAGCCCTCCCACAGGCAGCCTGGCCCTTCATCTGCCCCACAGAGGCAGCTTCGAGGGCCTTTTAATTGACCTAAGCCCTAGTGTGTAAAAATGAGATTATACGTAAAGGTCCCAATTTTTAGATTCTCTTGAAAAATAAGATTTAGAAAGACAGGGTTCGCATTCCCAGGTGGCCACATCCAACTAAAGTGACAGTCATGGTCAAAGCCAGTGGCCCTGTTCTCCATCCAGTCTGGCAGAGTTTCTGCCACCACACCAGGGTAATCCAGATGATCAAGTTCCACTCTTCTGCTGGTCCCAGAAGCATAGAACTTGGTATACACACATACATACAATACACCTACACACACAAACACACACACACACAGAGAGAGAGAGAGAGAGAGAGAGAGAGAGAGAGAGAGAGAGAGACGCAGATAGAGAGACATTCATTCTTTCAGTCAGCGTTTTACCCCTTTGACCAGCTGTCGCGTCTGCTGCGCGGCCTGTGTCTGAGAACCTGCGGAGGGTGTCGGGGATTGACAACACAGAGACTCGTTCAATGATATAAAGAGAACTTTAAACAGGCTCCAAAAAGGTTCAAGAAAACTTCCTAAGAAAGGCTCCCACCAGAGAAGCTTCTGCTCTCTCCTCTCCCCTGGCTGGTTCTGCCCTCACCAAAAACTGATCTGGGCGTGGCAGAAGAGGCGGTTAGTCTTTGGACAAGGTCGAGGTCAGGGTGGTTTCTGTGGGCAGGCCTTTTCCAGGAACTTATTGCCCCCGGGCATTGTATTGTTTTTAGTAAACATGTTTTTAGTAAACATTGTCTTACAGCTGCCTACTCCCAGGCAGAAGGGGAAGTGGGTCTCTGCTCAAGGTCTGGTGTTCCCACAATTCACCCCTTTTTATTTTTAAATGAGGCACTCCTGGCTTAGGTCAAGTAGGGTCACCCTCCCTTTCCCGTCTTTGGGGGACCTTGAACCCCTGTCTTAGGCGGGAGGGGTCTTCCCCACAGGTTGTCCGTCAACAGAGCGCCCCAACTTTAAATCATCTGTAACCAACCTTCATGGCTATCGGGATTGCCATGGGCTAAACTAAGCAATACTTGGTTACGGATCTCTTGCCTCTGGAACAAGGCACGTTTGAGCTCGGCATAAAGCCAGAATGCCTACCGCCACTGCCACCATTTCCAGGACCCCCATTGACATAGCGCCTCTCCATCACCGTACCCATCACCAGATCTGGGCCATAACATTCTACCAGCCTTCATCTGTTACAAGGGTAACATGCACGTGATTTACATTCTGTTACAAGGGTAACCCGCATGTGACTTAGATTTACAATTTGATAAAGTTACAATTGTTCCAAGATCTGCTCAGGAAAGCATTTAGAAAGTGCACTTGCACAGATACATTAGGTACAATCATTGATGTTACACATGTAGCATTATGAAAAATATGAACAATAGGCTTGTTGCACTATCCACAGAGCACCAATTTGTTCCTGTGGTGATGCAGTTTGTTGATTTAACGTCAGCTGATTATGCGACTTGAGTCAAAGTCTCCTTTTTGTCGCATTAGGACAAGTTGCATCTCTCTAGAAAAATACACTGGCCTAGTCGTGATTGCAGAAACAGGAACCATCAAGTTTGATATTTCAAGTGACCATGTCCTGTTCAATTACTGAAAAGAGGCTTTTGCCCCTCATCACAGTCCATACCAATGTCCAAATGTTTTAAATGGGTCCTTTTTCCTCTGTTGGCTTCGCGATGAAAACTCATGGGTCCGGAAGGTTGATGCAGCAGGTCTGTTGAGAAACTGGAAATCTCGAACCGACTGTTTTCTTTCTTTCTTGGGCTCTAGATTCGATGACATCAAGGTTCAGGAACACTGATTTAGGAAATCTCACTCAAACTAGCTTAGGTAGGCTCCCATGGTCTCAGGTCCAGTTTTTCTCTGCTCCATGCATCTCACTAAATGGTCTGACAGCTGCCGAAGCTTTATTCTTTTCCTGCAAGAAAACACAAACATGCCCTCGACCCCAAATTAGGGTCTTCTCCACTGTCTAGTGCATGGATGTCTCCATTTGACTTGAGCAATAGTTGCTCAAGTTCTATCATGCCAGAATCTGTCTGAAGCTCACTGGCATTCACATTATAAAATTTGTAAATGAGGAGTGTATTATTTGATGAGTCATATGGGGACTGGGGACATTATTCCCCCTTTTTTATTTTCTAAAAAAAATTGTTTTTTGAACTATTGAAGCTGGACCATAACAGTAGAAGGATTTGTCTACCCTCCTTGGTTAACTATCTAGGTAAATCGGGGTCACTACTTAGATTATTTGTAGATGCCCATTAAAAAGGACATATCCATTAAATATTTCCCAAAAACTTCTGAAAATCACTCAAAGATTGTAAACTATACTGTGTCCAAATAACTTTTGAAAATTATTTGAAGTCTGTGAGCAGTCTTTCCCAATCTAACCTGTAGAGCTCTCACTAGCTGACAAGGCCTCATTTGCATCTTAAATTTTTCTGTTAAAACATTAACAGACTGGCTGGATGTTCCTTTTGGCTATATTTAAAGCAATCTAGGTAGCTTCTTAACTATTTTTGAAGGGATTTAAGTATCCTTTTAATCACATAAGCAGTTCATACTCACGCATTCACAATCACATTTCATACATACCGGTGTGGCCACACCATACATTCAGAACATACATGCATCTTTCAGTCATCCTTTTTCCCTAGGTCATGATTAGTCTGTTGCAATGAAGCTTCCTTAATTGAAATCTATGTAAAAGAACAACTCCAGCCAATCCTTGAACTAAAAGGGTTAAAAAGTCCTGTATGTTCTTTATCATTCCTCCATTTGAGCTATAGTCATGGGGTACAGCCGTACCTACTCCTTGTAACTCTGTAGATGCAAGGTGGAGAGGCCAGGCTTTTGGCCAAAAGTTTTTAGAGATGACTCACAAAATTGACTTTAAATGCAAACAAAATTTTCCATTCCATATACCTTTGTCTTTTTCTTTTTCTTTACTTAATACCAGTACCTCTTTACTGTTACCAATTTTTTTTGAGTCAGGGTTTCTCTGTATTGTTTGAGGCTGTCAGTCCAGCCTGGCCTCGAACTCAGAGATCCGCCTGCCTGTGTCTCCCAAGTACTGGGATTAAAGGCGTGTGCTGCCAACGCCCGGCTATTCACCCATTTTCAATCCAACTTTTAACCCAGGATGTTCCCTCATAAAGGCGTGTTGGGATTAAAGGGGTATGCCGCTGGCAATCTCTTGGGTTTCCCCTACTTCTTGACCCTGGTATCAGGCTTAGGAGGGGAAACTCAGAATGTCTAGTTTCTGAGTTTTTAATCTCATTGGCGGCAGCCGCTCCCAATGTATTATTGGTGTTATAAAATTTGATGAACAGGGAGCTGGAATGACTATCTGGCATCAACATGGGGGGGGAATCCTCACCAACGCCCATATTTCCCTTACCTGAGTGTTCAACAATGGTTGGATCATCTTTATCATGGTGAGCATTCCTAGTATCCGGAGTAGTATTGGAGTCGACATGCCTGATGCACCGTTCGGGGACCCAAATAGGCTTCTCACTTCCTGGAGGGAAAATACAAACAGCCCCTCGGACCCTAGCTAGTAGGGGAGTGGGTGGATGCCATTTTCCTGTAATCAAATCCTTCCATCTGACCCATCCCAAGGAAGCAGGAGACGTTACATAGAACGGAATGAAAAGATGAAGGCTGCTACTTATGTCCCTTTTAGAAGACCATGTGACAAATAAGGGGGAATTTGGGACAAAAGTGCAGCCAACCCTGCTCCAGAGACCAAAATCCCACTGTGGTAGCTCACCCTCATTGCTCCTTGGCTAAAGTTCAGGATCCCTTAGTAAACACATCTTGAGTTGCTTCTGTGAGGTGACCCCAAAAGGGTCTCACGCCATCCCAGGGGTGGGTGGCATCACTCCATGACCTGGGGTCCTAGGCTTAAAGGAGAAAGCAAGCCTGCCAGCGTTCTCTTTCTGTTTCCTCACTGTGGAGTCAAAATGATCAGTCACACCCCCATCACCACGTCTTCCCCACCCTCAGATTGAGAACCAAAAGAAGTCCTTGCCTTCTTAAACTGATTTTATCAAGTATTCAGTCACAGCAACAAGAAAAATGACCAATGCAACTTCCCGGCACCTAGAAACAGAAAGCTTTTTTCTTTCTTTCTTTTTTTTTAATATTGTATGGTATCTTGGTTATTTATTGTGTGTATGCATGCCACGGCGAAGGTAGGACTTGGTTCTCTTCTTCTACCATGTGGCTTCCAGGGATTGAACTCAGGTCCCTGCGGTCGACAGCAGGCAATTTTATCTGCCGAGTCATCTGGCAGGCCCAGAAAAACTTAACTTTTATGTGGTGTGACAAAGAAAGGTCTTCTAGAGAAAGGGGGGGTTGCTAGGCATTTAGAAACATTCTTTTCCCTCTCTAGTGATCCAATTTGACCTGTTGAGACTGCTTCAGTCTAGGAGAGGGTGGTCTAAACCACTCATGCTCTGCAAAGACAAGCTAAAGGAGAGGGTGGTCTAAACCACTCATGCTCTGCAAAGACAAGCTAAAGGAGAGGGTGGTCTAAACCACTCATGCTCTGCAAAGACAAGCGCCTGTACAGAACAGACAAGCTGCTTGCACAGCCCTGTTCTGCTTGCACAGCAGACCCTGGCCAGAATTAGGTCAGAATCCGTTCCCTGGCTATATGGTTTGGTTCGAGGGAGAGTAGCCACCGGTGGCAGACGTGGGCAGCAGCCAAGCCCTTATGCCACATGGAAACTAGCATTGTAGCCGCCAGTGCGAGAAAATCCACTCCGGTAACGAACTGAGCAAAATGGAGACGGGCTACGCACAAGCCTCCGATTTAGAAGCAAGCCACACGGACTTGTGATCTGCCCGGTAAGCAATTGCTCTCTCTCACCCTGAGCCCTTCCTTCCATGACTGACATGGTCCTCTAGTCGCCCTTTCACCCCAGCCTGGCTGGCTGCAGCTTTCTCTCCCAGGGCCTCACTCTCTCTCTCTCTAAAAGGTAGGAGAGTATCTGCAAGTTGAATCTCTAAGATCCTGATTCAACTCAAACAACACACTGGGCTTTCCTGAGGCCTCCTGGTAGGAAGACAGTACTTATCTCCATTAACCTCTGACCCAGCGAAGATGAAACAGCTCGCATCTGTGAGCCTGAGTGCCCTCGTCCCTGACTCGAGCTAAATAGAGCGTGGGGGTGGGGCACGGGGCGCCCCCTACCCCCCGCAGAGGCCCCAGACTTGAAGCCTCATCCGCAGAGAGCAGCTGCCTCCTCCCTCTGGCTCTAGCCCAGAGCCCACTGTAAGAGCGCTCCTTAAGAGCCCCTCCAGGGGGCCTCTGGGTTAAGAACTAAGTAGGAGGAGGCAGTTGCTCCCTAGGAAGATGGAAGGCCTTAAACCCTCAAAGACTGTCTGTTTGATTTACGTGATAATAATGGGAATGCTAATCTCTAAAAGTGAAGCCCTTCTCCTGGGTCCCCACACCTGCCTTAAGAACAGCCGGCCCTGACCGGCTCTCCCAGGGGTCCCGGTCTTGATAGCCTCACTCCACACTGTGGGAGCCAGACAGGCATCGCCCGGTGCTCATTCAACAGGTGAGTAAACAAGCCCAGGTGACTCGCTCAGAGTCACACTAGCAGCCAATTCTCCACCGTGAGAGACCCAGGTGACAGCAAGCCCCATGTTTGTCTAACACCAAGACTTATGCAAGTTTCCAAAACAGCCAAATAACGTCTGTTACTTGCCCCTTGAGATGGGAATATGAATGAATATGTTTGCATCATCCCTTAAAATAGGCAAATTTGAGTTCCTGCAAGAAATATTTCTTCAAGAAGACTCTAAGCAATGATGTCAATATTAATTTAAGTCCATTTAAATGGAGAGAAGTGGTGGTGGTGTGTTTTTTTGTATTTTGGTTTATTTTTCCCCTGCTTTTTGTTTGTTTGTTTTTTGTTTTTGTGACAGGGTTTCTCTGTGTAACTGAGAACTCACTCTGGAACTCACTCTGTAGACCAGGCTGGCCTTGACCTCACAGAGATCCACCTGCCTCTGTCTTCCCAGTGCTGGGATTAAAGGCATGAGGCACCACCGCCCAGCAGTAGTGTGATTTAATGCTACTGTGGTCAATGGAGTTTGCCAGTGGACTCAGAATGAAGGCCAGCAGCCAGTTCCAGATGGTGAACAAAAATAGGAGTTCATAAGAGATTTGGGGGAAAGGGTAATTTAGACTACGTTGTGAGGGGCTCTTGAAGGATCCCTGGGGGTAGGCTATTTGTTTTGTAGTCCTAATCCAAATGCACCATAAGTGCTGAACAGCTAGACAGGTGCTTTACAGGCTTTTAAATGTGGAAACATCCCCCAGTATGCCTCAATTGGACCCACACACAGGGAGCCCGGAAGCAGGGAATTGTTCCGTTCCTAGCATATCAAAACCACCAGGTAAATAGACACCGTGAGAACTTTGTGACTTCCCTGCTATAATGGTAATGCTCTTGCATAGACCATGGCATAATGAGCTTGTGCCACCTGTATTGCTGAGGCCATTTCACAGGTGAGAGACCTGGAGCTCAGAGAATTAAACTGACTGATGCCAAATTCTGGAGCAAGAAAGACATGAGGGCAGACAAACAGCTGGCTGTTCCTGCTCACTTTTCTCCCACAGCCATGAAAAGAGCCCGGGTGTCTGCAGAAGATGCTATGATGTGCCACAAGCTCTCGGACCATCATAGAGAGATCAATGGTAAGTCACAGCAAGGAAGTTGAACCGTAACCCTCCAAAAATGAAATAGAGGATTTGTCCAAATATTCAAGCTGCCAGAGGGAAGGTCCAGGCTTGGGCCTCTCCTAATAGGCTTCCTTTTAAGCCAATGGTTCTCAGCCTTTCAAATGCTGCAACCCTTTAATGTAGTTCCTCATGTTGGTGACCCCCAACCATAAGTTATTTCGTTGCTACTCCATAACTGTAATTTTGCTATTGTTATAGATCATGCTATAAATATCCATGCTATCCAGTGGTCTTAGGCAACCCTTGTGAAAGGGTCATTTGACGACCCTGAGGTTGCTATCCATAGGGTGAGAACCACAAGTTTTAGCCCATAACACAGGAGCAAGCAAAACCCAAGGGTTTGTGAGCCTCAAGCTCAGATTCTAGTCTCTAACCGAGAATTAACTGGCTCATTGTTCTGCTCATTAGCACCTCCACAAGAGACAACATTGAAGAGAAAGAGAGAGAGAGAAAAAACAAACTCAAGATGGGCATTACTGTCTTTTGCAACCATTATGGAGGTTGAGGTGGTTTTCCAAAAATTGAGGAGTGTTGGGAGGGCACTAATAGGGGGACTAATCGAACGGGTGATTGTTTTCAAAGGTGTTGACGATTTTTCTTTTTATTAACTGCATTATCCTTAAATTCCTTGTCCTAGCTAATCTAAACTGGCAATAAATCGGGTACGTTTGAACTGCTAGACTTGTGCAGGAACCCATGAAGTATTTATTGTGTGCAATTTATTACCTCATGCCAGATTCACTGACTGCATAATTTGTTTGCAAGAATTTCCAAAGTTCAAATGTCAGAGGCAGTTCCGTTGGGCTTATCACTGAGCTCAAGTCTTCTGCAGTGGAGTGAGATGAAGGGGGTGCCAGCAGACAGGGTGGGGGAGGGATGCTCCCTAAAGTCCCTTCCTGTGTGTAACCTTTCCTTGGCCTGGCATGCTTTTTGAACCATTCCCTAAACTTGCCAGGTGCAGCGTGGGCTTCTCTGGACCAGGAAACGATGTCCTGACTTCTCACAACTTCACCTTCTGTTCGCCCCGCCTCCCTGTTGTGAACATATGTGTTGGACCAAGCACCGGGACACATGGTTTGGCTGTGAAAACAAAATTTAAGATTGTTCCAAAAGATCTAGGGCATATGTTCTCCAGAGACAGAACTCAGGACTGTGTATACAGTGGGTGCTTAGTTATTGCCTGCATTGAAAAAAATCACAGCAGCCTTCCAGAAGACATCTTGGATTTCATTCACAGATTTCATCTACAGCTAGTTTTGTCGTTCTTTGTTTAGTTTGGTTTCTAAATTGTGAAACTCTTGCAGACTCCCACACTAGGCCAGTTGCCTGTGCCTTTGACTAGCCCACCAAAGTATCACCATCTTCTTTTCGTAAGATTAAAATTAAACGGGAAGGGGGGAGGAGGGAGATGGGTGAGATTCGGAGGCATGACATGGAGACAGGATGTAAAAGACACAAAGAATAAAATTTTTAAAAAGTTTTAAAAATTAAATGGGGAAAAAAGGAAGAGAAACATTGTAATTAAATTACAATCTCAGAAAGAAACATAAAAGAATCCCCAAAAATAAATAAATAAAATTTAAACTTAAAAGCAAAGCCTCAAAGGGCCCCCTCCCCCCAGATCCTGGGACCTTTAAAATATAGGTAGAAGTACGATGTACACTTGGAAAGTAAGTAAGTATTTGAAAAGTAACCTGCTACTCCAAACGCATCACAACAGCAGGATGAGCCCAATGAAGAATTAACTGTCGGCCTCTTTAGATAAGAAGCACATCCCTTCAAAACCAACTGCAATTACAGAACTTCAAAGTCAAACAATTTGGCTCAGCCACATTGGTTTTAATCTCACATCAAAAGCAGCTGTGTCTTGGTTGGCTTATGAAAAGAAAGCAAGTCTTCCCAGCCAATATGAAGCATGAGAAAACAAGGGTACTATTGCTTGAAAACCTCCAATAAATAAATAGTGTCACATTGTGAAACCTGCACAGCAGTTCCGAATTATTATTTTTCTAAAATAAGATATCATGCTTCATAAATGAAGAGCAGGTGTAAAACCCAAACGGGGAACATCCATTTTGATTGATAAGTTTTACATATCAAGTTTTACATTGATAAGAAATACATATTAATGAATGAAACAGCCAAAACCAAGATCCGTTCCCAACACTTGAATGGGGAACCAATTTAAGAGGAAGACCCTAAATTCACACGAATGGATTCTAGTCTCTGGGACTGAATGAAATGCAGACTCTAGCTGAGTAGATCCTGGGTGGGGGTTAGGTCATCCCTGTGTGTCACAGGCTTCTTCCCGACGACGTTAGCTTCGGATTTGTGGACTCACTTTGAGCAGCAAGAAAGTAGAACTTTTGACCTCTGAGTCCCTCCCACACATCTATCACTCCTTGCCAAAAGCCTAACAAGATGAAATAAGGCACTGTCTGTAGCCCTGAAGGGGGTAAGGGCTATTTTCATGTGTTAAACAACTGCCCTTGGGGCCAACACAATATAGAGCAAAACAAAACCAAGGTTTTAATTGCAGAGACAGGCTCATTAGAAGCATATCATTAGAGAGATTTCAATGAAAGGCAACTGAAACGGGAAACAGAGGCCAGGGCTTTTGCCTGAAGTTTCCCAGCAAAGTTTGGTGAGAGGAGTGGCAGAGAGGGGGTTGGGGGGAACCAGCTGGTAGCCAAAGTCATTATCAGCTCTGCTTCCAGAAACTGAAAAATCAATGTGAGTTTGTACAGCAAAGGGCGGGCTTGGAGATGGGTTCAGCATTTAGTGCAGATCTGAGATTGAAGGGGGGAATTACAGTGTTACTGTAGAGGTCCAGTGGGTGTTTTAAAAGCACTGGTACTTAACCTTCCAGCAGAAGCTCTTCATCTGTGTGATGGAAAAAAAATAACAACACATCCTCCCAAGGATGATTGTGAGAATTAAAATGAATTCTATTAAGGGGATGTTATTATACTACAGTAATTGAAAAGGAGTCTGACAGCAAGCCCACAGAGGCACTATCTAGGCTACTATTATACAGACCCACATTACATTGATTTCAAATATCCCAGGTCAAGAGCTTCAGCCATTAAAATATGCTTGGCATCACCAGGAGAGTCAGCCATTGAGAAATGTCCATCAGCGTAAAATGGCTGACAATTGCCCTGCTGGCACATGATCCTCGCAGAAGCGGGGAGGAGACACTTATTTAATTTCACACTCAACAGACATAATAAATTGGAAAAGAAAAACCTCATCTGAAGAGAAGATACTAAGTCTGTGGTGTGATTATAAAAAGAAACGCATGGTTTTTCAGCCTGCCAATTGGAGAGTCAAACCATCAAAATTTTTTTAATTAATATTTTGGTTACAATTTCTGAGATGTAATTTAAAGTCAATGTTTCCTACACCATCTCCCAGCTAAAGGTCCATAATAGCCCATAGGGAGTCTAAAAGGATTACAACACAACTGTGCAGTGCGGTGGGAATGTGTAACTCTTTTTTTGGGGGGGGTGTTGAGATAAGGTTTCTCTGTGTAGCTTTGGAGTCTGTCCTGGAACTAGCTTTGTAGACCAGGATGGTCTCTGTAGACTAGGATGGCCTCCAACTCACAGAGATCCTCCTGCCTCTGCCTCCCAAGTGTTGGGAATATGTAGCTTTTCAGGCGTACCATATATTAGTCAAGGAAAGCACTGGCATTTCAGCTACAGGTGGCTCTCACAGGCATTTACCTGATCGTTATAACAGTAATCAGAAGACTTGTGACAAAAATGCTTCCCACTTGCCCCAAGGAAAACCCATTTCCAGTAACAAATGAGGCAGAGAATGTGAATATGTCATTTAAAAGAACAGCCTGGAAGAACATGGCCAGCACTAGGAGCTAGGGACCTACAGATGGCCAGGCAACCTAGCAGCAATCTTCATGACCATTGAGAGATCCTGTGTCACAAATTAAACTAGAAAGAGATCAGAGATAGAGGAAGACACTGGACATTCTCCTCTGGCCTCCAGTGAGCATGTGTATACACACACACACACACACACACACACACTGGCCTGCAACTGAAAAACCATGAGCCCTAGTATGTATCTCAATTGAAGACAGGAAGTTTGTCTAATTTTATGGCCTCTGTGTCTGTAATTCCAGGGTAGTGAATGAATGAATGACCCCATATAAATTTGACCACTGGACTTATTCCTCTCACTGGCCAAATAAGGGACCAGAATTAAATTCAGTCCTTTTCCATTCATTCATTCATTCATTCACTGTTACCCTTCTTGAACCAATAGTCAGGAGTTTGTATCAAAGCTGTCTTGTATCAAAGAAACTTCACAGGACAGCCTTATCTAATATAAATAAATAATGGATTGTTCTAGAGATTGGCTTCATATGCATCATACAGGTGATAATAGAGGTACTAATCTTTATTGCAGCTGTTCTCCAACAGGCAAGCATTACTTAGATCTATTTTGAGGCTGGACAAGCAGAGCCTCCTATATCCTGGGCATTTTAGGCTGTTGTGTACTAAAGGATAAAATCCTCACTGACACTTCAAAGGAGCCCGAACTTCTTCTAGCAGGGTATGTCCTTTTCTTGGGTGAAAATGTTGGTCCCAAATGAAGGTCAGATTCAGGGGCCTTTCCCAGTGAAGATGCGCATCTGCTGAGCAGCCAAAGACAGCACCATAAGGCTTGGACCACCTCAAGGAATTACAGTATCTCTCATGTGTATCAAGGCTCCTGCATCACATCCAGGGGCCTCCCAGCATTTCTAACCATTCACCTCCCCATCATATAACAAAGGCTACATCTTATAGTGGTTCTCAACCTGTGGGCCACAACCACACAGGGGTCAAATATCAGACATTCATATTACAATTCATAGCAGTAGCAAAATTACAGTTATGAAGTAGCAATGAAAATAATTTTATGGTTGGGGTCACCACAAGATGAACTGTATTTAAGGGTCACTGCCTTAGACCCTTTTCTTCATGGGGCTTTTTCCTAAGAGAAATGCTATTTTTTTTTATTGTTTTAATGCATTACCTTTTGGTCTCTCCAGCACTTAGTATTGCATGAAGCACATGCTAAAACCTACTAAAATTAAGAGATAAATGATTTAAGGGTTCAGCTTGATTGGGGGAATCTCGAGAAATTTCTGGAATAACCAAGGATCTGATCGTGTGCAGCTTGTACAGAACACCCATAAAAGAAAAGCAATTTCTAAATCAGCTGACATCTTCACATTACCAAATTAAAATAGCCCTCACGCTGCATGTCACACAAATACATACATGTCCTACCCCATGATAATATAGCAGTAAAAACCATGTGTCTGGGTCGTTTCTAGCCTGGGTTTAAATATAAATTCTTCCGCATCCCAGCCTTGAAAAAATTACCATTCTCTCAAAGCCTCCACCTTCTCTGTAGCAGGAGATGGAGAAAGAAGAAATGAGATGACTCACAATGCTGGATCTGAGTTGTTGGACAGATGAAAACAGAGAGCCTCAGAAACGTGTTCTGAAGGTGCTACTGTTTCATCTTATGATTCCTGGTGTCACAGAATGAGGAATGGCAGCCATGTGGAAACTCATGGAAATAGTGGTTCTAGAACATTTTGGGTCCTGTGAGCACTTCATCACTTCATTCTGCTCATCCTGCCTGGAGCTTGCTGTTTTGTGATTGTTTTGCAACGGAACGGGGAGCAGTCAGATAAAGCATCATTGATAGATTATTGACCAGCAGGAAAAGAGGCGGGAGAAAGCCCCAGCAGGGCTGTGGGAGCATTCTGGAAGCAAAGAGAAGTGACCTGATGGGGTCAGGAGGGCGCTCACCTTTACTTTGACTTCCCAGCAGCCTTGGAACCTCACTGATACCCAGCTCCTGATAAGAAGTTTCCCAGCATTCACCTTGTTCCTGGGACAATGTGACAGTTCAAACCAGATCCAGACTAGACCAGAACAGAGTTTTGAGGGCAAGATTAGTAAACTTCAAAAGCTTTTGAAGACTTGATAAGCCAGGGTGAGGGTAGGAATATTTATTTAAAAGCTTACAGTCCCTGAAATATTCCATCTGAGCCCCTCAGTCACCCACCTTCCTTCCCCTTGTCCTTTTTGTGACCTTCTCTCAGTTCTTGAAGCATCTTGCCTTGGATCAGCTGCATTCCCAGCCACAATACCAATTTTTGCCTAGTTAAGTTTCCAGAGACACAGCCTCTCCTAGGGTCCCTTGAGGGTTTAGAAAGAGAAGATCAACATTTACATTGGTAAAATACACTCAGCTGCGGGGAGGGCTAATCTTCTTTACAACCTTCCACTGCAGCTGTGTTGCTTGGAGATCGAAAGCTCTCCCCCAGTGAGTGCCAGGACACTGGGTCCCAACCTGGAGAAATATAGCTGATGGAAATCATGGATGTCTCATACCCAGATCAGTTCAGTGAGTCTCAGAGGACCAGGAGCAGAAAGCAAGAGAGGAAATTTGTAGAGATAAAGTCAGGGCTCAGATATGGATATTTAGGATAAACTCCACAATGATGATGGGGGAGTGGGTGAACTCCTTGGTGATCATGGGGGATAGAGTGAACTCAGTGATGATGGAAGATAGGGTGAACTCAGTGATCATGGAGGATAGAGTGAACTCCTCAGTGATGGGGGATACAGTGAACTCCTCGGTGATGATGAGGGTAAAGATGAACTCATCCGTGATGGGGGATAGGGTGGACTTCATAGGTTTTGAGAAAGGCAGGAGATTCTTCACTGGGGTCAAGGGATAAGAGAAAGCCTTTCCTGGCATTCCTCCCTCAAATAAAACTAACTAACCTCCCACAGCCTTCTCATTTTCTTTTCTTCTCTTTTTTTTCAATGCTACACAGAAAATACAAATTGAGTCAGCTGAGAGTTCCTGGGCAGCAGTTCAAGTCCAACTGAACCTTGCCATAAACTGGAAGCAGACACCAATGCATTCCCAGCAGTGGAGGAGGCTGAGGAGGCGGTGGCTTAAGAAACAAACAGCAGCAGCAGCAACAAGATCTTTAAAACTACAACCCTGTCAGGGCGTTGGTGGTGCACGCCTTTAATCCCAGCACTCGCGAGGCAGGGGCAGGCAGATCTATGTGAGTTTGAGACCAGCCTGGTCTACAAAGCTACACAGAGAAACTCGGTCCCCAAAAAACAAAACAAAACAAACTAGAACCCTGAAGTCACTCAGAGTTCAGTGTTAAATATGCTTTAGAAAAATTGTGAAATGGCATTGCATAAACAAATCTTCCTCTGTTTTTCTCAAAAGCAAAATTTTTAAACAAGGCTTCAAAGTCACCCTCCCTACATCCATAATAAAATTTTACATTGTTATCATTTAGACATTGCATGATAGCATCTGAACTCTGTGGCGTAACTTGTATTTTCTCAGTATAAAAGTAAGCTCTGGGTCTCCAAGTTCAAGGCCAGCCTGGCTATCATGGTGAATTCCAGGACAGCCTGGGCTACATAGTGAGATCCTGTCTCAAAGAAGAAGGGGGGCGGGGAGGAAGAGGAGGAGAGGAAGAGGAGGAGAGGAAAGAAAAGGTCGGAGAACGGCCCAGGTGAGGCGAGATCAATTCATGGCATGATGACTAGAAGACAGCGCCCTCAAATCAGGGAAGTAAGTGCTCTGTGTGCCTCTGGCGGGAAGGAGGACAGTTGTGGGCTACCCGGACAAATCTTCAACGCACAGCTTAAAATAAACAAGGTGCAGAAATCACACAGTCTAATGCTGTTTATCAAAGTTCATAAACATTGCAAACCCTGACTAACTATGGATGCTTACAGACACGTATAAAAATGCAAATATACAAAAAATATACACAAAGAGTTCACAGTGGTGTTTTTTTCCCAAGGAAAGAGGTTGGTGAAGGAATACTCAGGACACAGGGATTTTAAAAACTGCTTTTCTTTTTTAAAGCATTGTGAAAAGAACTAGCAGAAAGGAAGAGAGAGAGAGAGAAGGAAAGAGAGAAAGAGAGAGAGAGGAAGAGAGAAAGAAAATTGAAATGTTGCCACAAGCAGCATTCACCTATTTTGTTTTCTTTTGTGTAATGCTTCGTTGCATGCTTGAAACATTTCATCAAAAATGTTGAGCCTTAAACAAAAGTTTTCAAGTGAAGCAGCCAGGGGTTCCTGGAAGGACTTAGGTGGGCTTTGCAGGCCCAAGAGATGCTATTTTACTCCAGCTTCATCTGTTTCTAAGAGCCTTTGGTGAGGAGTGTGGGGACTCCCCCTTTTAAGCTTTTGTGAAATCACTCCACCCAATGGGTTTGCAGAAACAGCCTGCAATAGGTATCTAAAAGCTTTTGTCAGACACTCAAGGGAGGAAATGCTATTTAACAAGTCTCTCAGACTAAACACAGATACTTGCAAGCCTAGTCTTTTTTAACTGCCCATTCAAATGCCAAATGGTTCTCTCCCTAGTACTGATAGTTATGAGCTTCAAAATTTGGGGTAAAGTCACTTACCCTTCTAGGTCTTGGTGACCTTATATGGACCTAAATGGCATCTAACATCTGACTTTGGATAGTCAGTAGCTTTAGTCTGAGAACAGAGGTCATGGGCCAGATATAGATAGGCAATATATTCCATTCACCAACCATAATTTATTCTACAGATGCAGGTTATCCTCACTGGACCTCTTCTGCCAAATGCCCACCTCTTGTTACCCTCATCATCTTTATAGAGCTCCAATCACCAAGTAGACACTCTTGCGGATTAAACATCTCATTAAAATGCAAACCCGAGAGTGTAATGCCACCTTCAATCCACTGTGTGTCCACCCTCTTCTAATTCTCGAAGCCACTTTTAACACAGAGGAGAATACTGAGGCCTAGCACATGATCTGCTCAAAGTGACACTGTTTCCATGTGGGAAACTCAGACTTCAAGGCTGCCTTCAAAATTTCAAGTTTGGACTTTTCCAGTGACATAATTGCCTCAAAAGCCGTAATTGGGGGCGGGGCTCAGAATCCCAAGAAAGCAAAAGTCAGAGAGCAAAACAGTTAAGGGAAGGATGGACTTACCCATAGGGAGCACACCCACAGGGAGCATGGAGAGAATGAATAAGGCTGAAAACTCCATTCTGTATCACTTTACATCGAGGGTAGCTCCCTTCGTAACTGTGAATTTCAAAATTACAAAGATTTATACAGGTTGAGAACAAGCTACCAAGGTATGCATGACAGTTTCCCCTCTGAATGTTCCTACCTTAAGACCTGGCACATTAACTATACAAGGATTGATTGTATAAATGAACATGTAAAGCCATGGGCACCATATGTGGACAGGGGATGACAATAAAGACAAAGATGACGATGACAATGATGCTGATGATGACTGAATGCTCCTCATTGTGCTGCCATTACTCATGATATTTTCACTGCTTAAAGTTGTTTCAACATGACCACATTTGTTTTTTTTTTTTTCTGGCCAAAACATTTGTTTTGTTCAAAAGGAGTTGACCATGAATTTGATCATCCCTGTGCCTCTCCAAAGTTCTTGGCTGAGTTCCCTAGGACAAAAGCAGCACCATCGCCCCAGAAACTGTTTCCAAGCTTTGCCCACTGGAGTATCAACCTTATCAACATGTAAACAGTTAGATAAGGAAATGGGTTAAGGCTGCTGCCACATGCGATGCAAATAAAATCGACACCTGAAATAGAAACATAGGATTCTTGAAGTCTTTTATACCTTTCTAAGGACTCCATTTTTTTCCCATTTCAAATGCCCTAATACAAATCAAATGCTTTCTTGCCTAGGATTATCCCTTCTAAAAGAAGCTGCACTGTTTTAGATTCCTTACTAAAATCTTAGATAGCAACATATCCTCTCCATTATTTTACACAAGCATTCAATAGCCCTAGCCCCAATCCATGCTTGTTTGGAACACTGTCAGTAAAAAAAAAAAAAAAAAAAGAAAAAGAAGTTTAATCTGGGACCAGTATGGTAGTCAGGCAGACCCACCATGGAAGGAAAAAACCAACTCCAGAAGATTGTCCTCTGATGCCACACACTTGCTATGGCACCCATACACCTGGACTTACATATATATACACCACATACAATAAATAGATAATACATGTTAAGAGAAGCTTTCCTTGAGAGGAGCCTTCCCGCCCGCCTGGTTCCAGATCCGCAGCAGTCCCAAATAAACACACAGGAGGCTATATTAATTATGAAGCTGTTGGACTTGCTTGTTTCTTACTGGCTAGCTCTGACTTAAGTAATTACCCCATAATTGTTAATCTAAGTATGTTTCTTACCGGAGAATAGTTCTGGGCTTCCTACCCCCATGGCGTTACATGTTGACTCTCTTGTGTTTCTCCTTCCCAGAATCCTCCTGGACTCCTAGTCCCACCTATCTAGATTCCTATTGGCTCAACAGTACTTTATTGACAAAGGACTTCCCCAACAAATACATATCATGAAATAGAATCTTTCCAAAGATTAAGGTTTATATTTGCAGTTATGGAGTATAGCTAAAAATAAATCAGCAACCCTTTACAAATCACTTTTAAATGCCAGTGACTACATTTTCCAAATAGAAATATACACTTGAGTGACAGTAGGGAAAAAAAGACAAAAAAACAATTAATAAGGCAAGCTAAAGGAGAACATGTGTAGTTGGGGCATTGTCACCTGCTACAGGGTAACTCCATTTTAACTCTTGATATATGTGTACATATGCATCAGGAAGTTTCCTATCCTTTAAAAGCCCCTACACATGCATGCCCCCTTACTAATTTCCTGACTTCTGTGGATATACTAAAGAGTCAAAGCTGAATAGTCACATATCTAAAGAGTTAAAGCTAACATTTATGAGAGAAAACATGAGACATTTATCTTTCTGGATCAGATGTTTGTCTTTTGGGATTATACTCAGAATGATTCTTTCCCCGTTCCATCCGTTTATCTTCAAATTTTATACTTTAGGTTTTTCTTAACAGTTAAGTAATATTCCATTGTGTAAATATGCCACATTTTCATTATCTACTCATCAATTGATGGATGCTATTATGAGTAGAGAACAATGGACATACATGAGCAGGTATCTTTATATAAGACAGAGTCCTCTTGGTAAACACTCAGGCATGATACAGCTGGATCATGCAGTAGTTCTAGTGCTAGCTTTTTAAGAAACTTCTACACTGATTTCCAGTGAGGTGCCATAGATCACCAAACATTACAGGATATAGCTAATGCTATTGGTTACCCTCCAGTACTTGATGGTAAGACCCTATTGCTGAAGACACCACATGTGTCATAGAACATGGAGCTATCAAGCTAGTACTGATCTGGAAGCTTCATCACTATTGGGTAGCTTTCACAGAGCATGACAGTGTTGTGCACACTACCAGAAGACAAAAGTAATCATTAGTCTTATAGACCTGTGTACCCTGCAAGATACAATAATGATTGCTCTAGCAAGACATGCCCACTGGTGCAATAGTGGCAAAAATATCATGTAGGTAGATAACCACTCTCCTAATGAGTTTAAGTCCTGCTCCCTAAAATGGGGCCCATACCTGGCACCCCTGTCCAGCCAAGAACTTGTGTCTAAACAGGTCATGGGCCCTAGGGGAAAATCTACTATGATTATTCTGATAAATTGAGATAGTGTTTAACTCCTAATACCTATCATTCTATTCAAAGTAGATGGTGAGTGATTCAGAGACTCACAACTGGCCAAGGCACAGTAGACTCCAGAATTCTCAGTCCTAAACGGAACATAAATACTACTATAAATATATACTACGCCCCCTCCTGCCACGCCTTAGGACCATTGCAGAAGAGGGGCAGGAAAATATGAGATTCAGGCTCAGTGGATGACTACAAGGAAAGGCGGTCTCCAGACACAGCAGGGCTGTTGCACGTATGAACTCACAGCAGGTGTGACTGCATACATGAGGCCTGTGCAAGCTCAAGCCAAACCAAATCCCCACAGGAAGAAGGGGACTGGGCATCAAGTCTCACCCCTAGCAAAGAAGCTGAGTGAAGAGGGAAACTCAGTTTTCTTTAGGAGCGTAGCCCCTAGTGAATTGATCAAAGTCCAGCGGTGCCAGTCACTCATATGAGCACCACAAATCAGACTTCATGGGCGTTAAAAAAAAAGGCAGAGAACGTTTTGTAGGTAGGCAAAGGAGTGGTAGATCTGGAAGGAGTTTGAGGAGGCTGTAAATATGATCAAAACACATTGTACAAAATTCTCAAAGAACTAACAAAAAAAATCTGTAAAGGACATGCAGCCTGACACAGCAATTTTAGTGTTCATACTAAACAGGATTCAAAACTACTATTTCTTCAGCAGCCCAGAAGTAGGAATGGTGAGCCCACAGACCCAGTGAGTTCACTCAAAAGTGAGGGAAGAAACACACGCAAAAGAGTTGCATAAAACTTGTCGGGGAAGCTGCAAGTTAGAAACGTAATATTTCTATATTAATGTCATTTTAGATGTGCTACTTTAACTATAGATATGAGTCTCTGTTAATAAATTGAATGTTAGCTGGCATTTAACTATTCCATCTATGTTCCTAAAAGTACTTTGAAAAAAATTCCAAGTTGGCCAAATGCTTTTCTTGGCTTTAATTGCCATGTTCTTAAGTAGATGCTGTGTGCTGCTTGAGCATAATGGGACTTCACGTAAGAGAGAAGACAAATAAGTCACTTGGAGCTCTTGGGGGGATGGGCAGAGGCAGAATACATCGAGAAAAGGAAATTTAAAATCAAGGGCCAGTTTTCAAAAGCCTAACTGTCGTCAGCTACATTTGGGATCTGACCCACCGCCACCCTATCCTGTCCACACACACTCACCCTGCTCCTGATACCTTCACGCTGTCCCCTCCATCCCCACCCTGTCCCTTCACCCTGTCCTCTCCACCCCAGCCCTATCCCCTCCACATACACTCACCCTGCTCCCGATACCTTCACCCTGTACCCTCCACCCCCTCCCTGTCCCCCTTGGAACACATGATTCAGAAGACTTATCAGGCTGTTCTTGAAGATGGCTGGCCCTGAATCAAACCCTCTCCTCCAGACTCCAGCAGGTGAGGCCCACAGAGAACATCGTATTATGTTTTGTTCCCAGTGTCCCTGAAAGAGTGGAGAGAGCTGGAGCTAGGAACTGCCACAGACAGGAGAAGCCAGAAGGAAGGAAAAGTTCTCAAGATTTTGATTGTATCCCATATCAAAGACTCCATTTCTGCCCCAAATTGTAGAATCTGGAGCAAAGGCAGGGAGGGGATCGTGGAGGCCACACCTCTTATTCTATAAAGAGTAGGACAGTATCCTTTTACACATTTTTTATTTATGATCCCAATAAGGGGGATTTCCCTTAAGATCTCAAAAAGCTTGGTAGACATTTTCTCCAGGCTAAGTAAAACCAACAGTCCTATCCCTATTGATGTTCAATCAAGGTAACTCTGGTGATCTTAATATCCTGGGCAGCCTTTGGGGTGACTGCTGGCTCTGTTTTAAAGTAGACTAGTGCTCACAATTCACCAGCACTTCCACCTCCAACAGAGACATCTGCGCTCTCCTCCTGACTCTGCATCATATGGTCACCATCAAAGGTCACCACAGTTGAAAAGCCATTTGCAGGAAGTAAGCAGACCACAAATCATGCAGGACAAGGGAGCTGTCAAGCCCAAGCTCACCACCTCAGAAGTGGGCCCTACAGCCAAGTAGATCATAAGTCAGCCTCAGGGCCACATGCGCTCCCTTTTAATTCTGTCATGTTTTAAGTCACAAATATATTACTAGATCCCAAGTAGCATTCTGCATGAGACCTTTAAACTTAAAGAGTATACATAATTTTACTATGTTAAGTCAAAACAGTGTGGGCGTGTATGTGTGTGCATGAGTATAAATAATATGTATAAGTTCATGTGTGTTTATGATATATTACTGTGTATATGTGGTATGTGTATATAGTATTTGTGGTATATGTGTATACAGTATGTCTAATATGTGTATAGCATATATGTGTTTATTTGTACATAATATATATATAGTACTTTGGTGTGCATGTAGTATGTGTATATAATGTATATGTGGTATTTGTAGTATATGCTTATACAGTGTATTTGAGTGTATGTGACTGTGTGTGATATTTGTGCATGTGTGTAGTGTATATTTTTGTGTACTTGTGGCATATGAGTATATAGTGTATGTGAGTGAATTAATGTGTGTACTTTTGGTATATGTGTGTACAATATAGTGTATGTGTAGTACTTTGTGGCATATGCCTGTTTAGTGTGTATATGCAGGTGTGTGGGTAGTAGTTGTGGTGTATGTGTGTGTGTGTGAGGGAGAGAGAGAGA